GGAAGCCCGGGGGAGGGAGCCGCTGACCGCCGGGGGAAGCCCGGGGGAGGGAGCCGCGTTCTGGCTGCGCACTGACACGTGTCGGGGCGCCCAGGGCAGGATGTACACGCTGCTGTCGGGCTTGTACAAGTACATGTTTCAGAAGGACGAGTACTGCATCCTGATCCTGGGCCTGGACAATGCTGGGAAGACGGTGAGTGCCCACTCCCTTGCCCGCACCTTTCCCACGGCCGGGTGGCCCCCGCTTCGGTTTTGCGCTGTCAGCTGCATGTTCACTACCCAGATGGAAGCCACATTTCACCTGAGACGACAGGATCGTCACCACCAGCTTCCTGAAGGGCAGAGTGTTGCTTTGTTTCTGTTTTTCTCTCTCAAGGAACAGGCCTGAGGAAGGATATTTGGGAAGCCAGTGTAGCCCCTACTTGATGTGTCTTCCTCTCCCTCTCTCCTCAGACCTTCCTGGAGCAGTCAAAAACCCGGTTTAACAAGAACTACAAGGGAATGAGTCTATCCAAAATCACCACCACCGTGGGTCTGAACAGTAAGGGGTCTAAACAAACAGTAAGGGGTCTAAACAAATAGCAGGCTGTGGGTTTGGGGCCTTGAGGATGCTGTGACGTTCACAGTCCAGCTGGCCCTTGGCCACAGCCCTGTCAGTCCCCTCTCAAGTCTCATTTGAGTGGCACCAGCATGGTTTGCTCCATCCCCCGGGAGAGCTGGGACTGGGTGTGTGGAGGACCAAGGGCACGAGCCTTGCCTGTTTCCTCCTCTCCCCAGTTGGCACTGTGGATGTGGGAAAGGCTCGGCTCATGTTCTGGGACTTAGGAGGGCAGGAAGAGCTGCAGTCTTTGTGGGACAAGGTAAGACTCCCTGGTCAGGACCACCCCCCCTCCAGCCCTTCAGTGCCATTTCTTTCCAGAGGGCACCCTTTGGGCCCTTCCTCAGCCACTTTCATTACCCACTTTGTCCCTGGGGGTTTCTCTCTGGTCCTGTCCCAGGTTCCCGAGTGGCTCCCTGGTTTGTCCCAGCCGAACCCTTAGCTAAAGTTGCCCCAAAAGTGGTGGTAGGGGAGTTTCCTACTTGGGAGTTCCCTGCGATGGGGCCAGTGGAGATTCCAAGGAAAGAATCACTAAACGCCAAGGCGATCAGATCAGAGCATGTATTAGGGAACTTGTTGACAGAGTGGGGCATCCTCAGGTCAGGGCACGCGTTAGGGGAACCTGTTGACAGACTGGGGCATCCTCAGGTCAGGGCACGCGTTAGGGGAACCTGTTGACAGAGTGCAGCATCCTCAGGTCAGGGCACGCGTTTGGGGAACCTGTTGACAGACTGGGGCATCCTCAGGTCAGGGCACGCGTTAGGGGAACCTGTTGACAGAGTGCAGCATCCTCAGGTGACCAGCAAAGGGAGGGGCGTGCTCACTGGTCCTGTCCGAAGCTGGGAGAGCAGGGTGTGGCGTTTAAACGAAAATTTAAGGAATTGGGTTCAGGGCTGGGGCTAATTTGTTTCAATGTTTTGAAACCTGAACATTATGTTAACAACCTAAACATCTTACAAGTGTCGGAATGTTCAAGCCCTGGCTTGGGTTTGAGCCCAAGGGAAACCTCGTTGGCCAGGTCAGAGAGGTCAGGGCAGTGTGTTTCTTTCTCAGTCAGGACAAGACAAAGTGTGGGGACCTGGGGACCCTGCACTCCCCCAAAGCGAGTGCTTCCTTTCAGCTCAGAGATCTTGCTGCTCACCACCACGACACAGAAATGGCAAAGACCAGCCAGATGTGGGGAAGGCACGACGGCTGCCTCTCCCCGATGGGGTTACCTCAGTTCTAGCTTAACATTCGTTCTTCCGTGGTCACCAGAAGACTCCTCAGGGTCCCACAGCAGCGGTCTCCTCGTTTGACGCAGGTTTTGGGCTTTTCTGAGATCCCAGTGTGGTGCCCCTCCCCCACACCCCCCAGACTACAGTTTCTCTCCTTCTCAGCCTGGGCCAGGCACTGAGTCCAGCACTGAGCAGGGCAGAGCCTGTGGCTTCCTGGGGCTCCCTGCCCTAGGCTGGCACAGTGGGTGTGGGGCGGCCCTGGTGCCTTGGCTGCCCTGATGCTTGCCAGCCGCCAGCTCTAGAGTTGAATGCCCAGGTCCTGATCTCCTTTTTGATCCCAGTTCCTCTTGCCTAGGCCCCACCGAAGTGTCCCCTCCTGCTGTGATTTCTAGCCGAGAGGTCATTTCTCCCATGGCCAAGTGATCTCTGATAGATCCTGTAGGTCCACTGTAGTCAGATGGGACAAGCTGAGTCAGAGCCTGGGTCCAGTGCCCAGCGTGCTTGGGGAGGGACAAAGATGATGATGATCTTGTCACAGGCCAGTGTCTCAGGCACAGATGCCGAGACAGGTTGAGATACAGGATGCATATTGGGGGTCAGCATCAGGAAGGCAGCGAGGATGGGAGAGGAGAGGTCGATTCAGGCAGCAGGATCCGCGGAGCTGTGGTTGGCCCAGCAGGGAGCCCTGGAGGAGAACTGGCTGTGCTGGGCCATGTCGGGCCAGGCTGGCCGGGACTTCACGCCACGGCCCGGTGGGTCTCCAGCGTGGGCTGCCCTGGGCAGGTGTGACCTGGCAGCATGGCTCTTTGCAGCCAGAGTGGGTCCCACAGAAACCAGAACGAGGCCATCCGCTGGTACAGTGTTCTCCAGCATGAAGCAAGAATACACTGGGGCCACAGACGCCTGCACTGGCCGCAGCCACAGCCTTGCATGGACCCACACTTCCACATCGGAGACGGGCTCCTCCAAGGTCCCGAGGGTCTCTCTTAAGGGGAAACTGGAAGAGGGAGACTTAAGGGGGCCACTATAGCTCATCCTTGCTGCTGGACTTAGGGCTGCATTCTTCCTTGAGTGTCCCCCCAATTCACTACCACTTCTGCTGGGGTGTGATTTCCTGGTAGTCTGAGTCCTTCTCCAGACGCCACCTTGGTGGGGCCAGTGGCTCTCTGGGTCCCCAGCTGTGGGATAGCAGCCCCGTCTCCTGCCCACCAGGGTCTCCTAGATATGAGGTGCATTTCATGCCCGTGAGGCAGCTGTGGCTCATCGTTCAGCGTGTCAGCTGAGTATGTGCTGCTCTAGTGGCTGGGACGCCTGACCCTGCTGAGCTCAGAGCTGGGAGGATCAGCAGCAGAGACCCCCCAGGAGGGACCGGAAGGGAGGTCTCTGCTCCCACCCCGGTTCCTGCATCCTGCATCCTGCATCCTCGTGCAGAGCGAAAGGGCTGTCATTGGGAATCGGCCTCGTCCTGGGGCTGGACCCCGGGCCGGCGTCCACGGGTGGCATGTGCCAGGACCTCAGCTCCTGGGTTCTTTGCTGTGACACTAGTCTCTCAGGCTGGCTGGCACTTGGCAGTTGGGGAGCTCCCATTGCTGCTGGGGAGAAACACTCAGACCCACAGTCCCTCTGATTGCTCCGCTGGGGTCAGCTGGCCAGCCAGGAGCCACGCTTGGACATTTCCCTCTTCCCCTCATTGTGGGGTACCACACAGTGACCACTGCTGTGACGCCTCCACTGGGGCATGGGGCTCTAGGTCCTGCCTGCACTCAGCCCTGAGGTGCCACTCCCGTCTCACTGCAGCCCTGCTGGGCTGTGTGCCTTGTGCCTGGTAGGTGTGATGGGTTGCTCTGACCACGTGGTCCCATGGTCCAGGACCCGGTTGCACATGAACCTTCTGCCACCCTGTTCAGAAGCCCCGGGGGCCACGTGGGGATTCTCTCACTGGGCTTGCTGCAGCCTCCACAGAGCCATCCCTCCCGCCGCAGAGGTCTCCGCCTCAGGGTCCGCCTGCTCCTGGGTGTCAGCAGCAGACAGTCTCCACACTGCAGGGTCCCCTGTGGGGCTGGTGGCCTGTGTGTGGCACCTGCCTGTAGGCCAGAGAAGTTCCTGGGGGTGTGGGGGGGCCTCGCTGCCTGCAGAACCGTGGAGGACGCCTGGCCTTGGGCTTCTTTCTCCACTGTGAGAAGTGCAGGTACACAAGCTTGTCTGGCACTGGGATGGGGTTGCCTGGTACTCCCTGCTCGGACACCTTAAGGATTTCGGAGAGTTGGGCGGCGCCTCCTGACTTCTCACGCTCTCAGGGGTATGTGTGTCTTAACACACTGACCACCAGCATGTCCTACCTGGTCAGCATCCAGTTCCAGGTCTCTGGGACCTCATGCCCAGGCAGGAGAGCTGGCACAGCCTGGAGGCAAAGTGGCAAATGTGAGCTGTTTGCTCCACGTGGACGCGGAGTTTCCTGTATTCTTTTCTGATTCCGACAGAGGTGCACTCATCTGGTCCGGGGCTCGGCACTCGTACCCGAGGCCGCAGGGTCTGTGCCCTGTCTTGCCCAGCAGTGTCGCCAGCGAGCCCAGGACTGACCAGCCCAGCCTGCAAAAGTCTTGAGTTCAGTGACTCTGGCCCTGTCCTGGCAGGGAGGGCTCGCCTCGTACATGGCGCTGGTCAGTGTTGTCATCCGCATGGCCACAATCCCTCCCCGCACGAGGTGCTGGCACGGAGCCCCACGGAGGTGCACTCCCTCGACAGGCCAGGCTGTGGTTTGTGTTCCTCCAGCCCCCAAACCCTATCTTTTTTTTGAGATAGGGTCTCTCATTCTCACCCAGGCTGGAGCACAGTGGCATGATCAGAGCTCACTACAGCCTCAACCTCCCAGGCTCAAGCCATTCTCCCACCTCAGCCTCCCAAGTAGCTAGGACTACAGGCGCACATTACCATAAGCTTTTGTAGAGACGAAGTCTCACTACATTGCCCAGGTTGGCCGTGAACTGGGCTCAGGTGATCCTCCTGCTTCTGCCCCCCAAAGTGTTGGGATAATTGTGAGCTACCATGCCTGGCCCAATCCCTGTCTTTCACCTTTTTCTCTGGCCGCCATCAGGCCAAAGGTTGCAGGCAGGTTCTTAGGAGCAGTGCCTGGGGGCACCTCCACCAGATTTCCCCACAACCCCGGAATGCATCCCAGAAGGGTCTTGCAAGCGGGAGCTGCTCTTTTGCCCATTGCTCATGTGAGCCCCCCACAGTGGCCATGACACAGGCCTGGCCCTTGGCAGGGTGGGGACTGAGCCCCAACTCCTGCTTCCTCCCAGTATTATGCAGAGTGTCACGGCGTCATCTACGTCATTGACTCCACCGATGAGGAGAGGCTGGCCGAGTCCAAGCAGGCGTTCGGTGAGTGCGGCCTGGCTGCTCTGGGAGGGGTGGATGGTGAGTGGGGGCAGGTCCAGCTTGGGCAGCTCTGTACCTGGGGCTGGCTCAGTGTCTGGTCAGAAGCGCTCCTGCCTCATAGGCAATGGGGGGCAGAGGGAGCAGCTGTCGGCGTCCACGGCTGTGGGCCCCAGGGCAGTCAGGCAGGATGCTGGGTGTGAGGTGCTGCCTCTCCTGCCCTCCCCAGAGAAGGTGGTGACCAGCGAGGCGCTGTGCGGTGTCCCTGTCTTGGTGCTGGCCAACAAGCAGGATGTGGAGGTGAGCCCCACCCCATCTCCTGCAGCAGCTTCCCAAGTCCCCAGACTCCCCCACAGCAAGGGGAGCAGTGTGTGCACCCAGACACCCCAGGCCCAGGCCCAGTGACCGCCCAGGGGCACAGAGCCATTCTCAAGGCCCGCCCTGCCCCCGGCAGCTTCCCAAGCCTGGTTCCTCTCCGGACCTGCTGCTGCCAGCCCTGGAGGTTCTCGCACCTCGAGGCAGGCACCCAGTAGGCCTCTTCCTGCCATGCCGGGCACCTCTCCCCTGAAGGCGGCCGTGTCTCAGGAGCGTACGACTGAGCTGTGGGGAGACCCAGATGAAACTCAGAGCTCAAAAAGTGATGCTGGGGCCCTGGTGGGAGTCAGCTCTGACCCTCACTTGTTCCTGCTACGCTTGGAGGGGGCATCTGTGCCAGCCCCACCCCCAGGGCAGCCCCTCAAGACCCCTCTGAGGTGCTGCTGTCCCCTGGAGCACTGGTCACACTGAATTCTTGCCGTCCTCTTGGAGTGGCTTCCACAGAAGCAGTGCAGTGTCCAGAGGGCCAGGGTGAATCTTTACTGCCCGCCTTCTCTGGGGCAGCTCTGTTGCCCCCAGCCTGTAGGGCTGGCCTCCCCCACAATCTCAGCCGACAAGAGGGCCACCTGGTGTGGGGCAGGGGTCTCCCCTCAGAGGAAAGGGGAGGGCTGCTCTTTTGAGGACTGGGCAGGTGGTTGTGAGCAGAAGTGACCGTGATTGCAGACTGCCCCCATCACCGACGCAGGGCTCCCCCCCACATCATCCCTGGCCATGTGGGCCCAACGCAGGGCTCCCACCCCTCCATTATTCCCAGCTGTATGGGCCCCTGGGACCTGCCTCCGCCACTGCCCAGGAGGCATCAACCCTTGGTGCCCCACCTCGGGCCTCATGGTGTCCCCCAGGAAGGGGATGGGGGTGGATTCCTTGCAGCTGTGTGGACGTCTAGCGTCTGTCCCAGGCACTACCAGCCACGTTCAGCCTCGGGGTGAGCGCAGGGTCCTCACCGCTGTGGCCTCTGGGAGACACTGGGACCCTCCTGGAGCTCTGCCTGTTTTTCTGGGGTGAAGGGCATATGCCCTTCTGAGAGTCCCAGGCCCACAGGCAGGACAGGGCCAGATGTGGGGGCTGCTCCTCATGGCCTTGCCTCCCCCAGACGTGCCTCTCAATCCCTGACATCAAGACGGCCTTCAGCGACTGCACCAGCAAGATCGGCAGGCGGGATTGCCTGACCCAGGCCTGCTCGGCCCTCACGGGGTGAGTGGAGCTGCACCTGCAGGGGCTTTGGGGACCAAGGCCAGCCCCCTCACACCCCCTGTCTTCACAGCAAAGGGGTGCGCGAGGGCATCGAGTGGATGGTGAAGTGTGTCGTGCGGAACGTGCACCGGCCGCCGCGGCAGAGGGACATCACGTAGGCGCGGCCGCGCTGCCGTCGGGACGGCTGGTGCCCGGTGCTGGAGGAGCGGCCTGTTGGCTGCTCGTCTGGGGGGTGGGTTTGCTTTGCTTTGGGGTTCTTCCATTTCCTTTGTTTTCTCGAAGACAAACTTTCCTCTACGTCTGGAAAAGTGTAGGCCTCGGAGGTTTTGGAGGGGAGTCTGGCCGCCCGGCTAACGCCCTCTGGCGGCAGCCTTTCCATGGGGCGCTGCGGTGGCCTTTCTGGGCCCTTTCGGGGGGGTCTGAGGGAGACCTGGTTGGGAATCGGGGCTCCAGTGCTCAGGCTGGCTTGGACTGCCTGGGGACAGCCCTGTGGGGCCTTTGGGAGATTCCGTGGCTGCATGTCCACCCCATCGAGAAGGAGGCCAGTCAGCCATGGTTGCCCTCTGGCTTGTGCCCCGTGACCCTGGAGGTGGTCTGGGGCTGATCTTGCCTTGAGGAAGACCCAGGCCATGTCCCCAAAGGCCAGCGGGGGCCCTGGATTCTGATGCAGCCTCGGGACAGAGCCGAGGAGGCCTGTGAGGGAAGACATACACTCCGCACCTGAGCCTGGCTTCGCCTCATCTTAATCCCCTGGGAGGGAGCTGATGCAAAAAAGCTGAGGGGGCCTCTGCTGGGAGTGGCTGTTTTTGTGCCCCAGCCCTGCAAGTGGGGAGTGTGTGTGGGGGTCCAGAGCCCTCTCCCAGCCAAGAGAGAACCTCCTGGAGGGGTTCTCTGGGGGGCCCTGTGTCAGTGCTGTGCAGGGCCTGCGTCCCCTGCTTGGGAGTAAGACTGATCCTGGGGCCCTCCCTGCACAGCCCCCACTGGGCCTGCCGAGGGCTCTGTTCTTCCTCAGTCTGGCTGTGGGCAGGAGCCGCCTGCCCAGTGCTGCCCAGGATGAGTGCAAAATAAAGACAGCAAGTGTGGGTCTGTCCATCCCTTCCCTCCTGGAGGGCTGAGGCTTGGCTCCTGGCTGTTGGACACGGTGACGGTGGCACTGGACTGCTCAGGGGCTGGTGGGCAGGTGAGGGGCTCCCCAGGTGGGTCTGGAGCCTGGAGAGTCCAGGCACTCCCTTCCTGCGGATGTGGGAAGGACGTGGGGGGCCTGGGAGGAGCTGCTGGGAAGGGGCATGAGTCAGGGTGGGGGTGGCACAGCAGCTGCGGGGCTGTGACTCACGGGAGTCGGGCCCTGGAAGTCCCCGCGTCATCTCCAGGGGACCCTGTGTGTGTTTTGCAGGTTGGTTCCCAGGACCTAGGGGGCGGGGCCTCCAGCCACGGGAAACTGGCCACGCAGGGGAGTGTGGCTGGGGCGGGCCCCCAGTTGCTCTGGATGCATCTGAAGGCTTCAGAGCCTGCCCCAAAGGGGAAAAGCTTCACTTCCCAGGAAGCATGGGAGGCCTGGAGGAGGTGTTTGGCAGGTCTCCTCTTGGGAAATCCCCTGAGAGTTGGGAGTGGGAGGAATTCAAAAGAGGGGGTTAGTGTGGGGCCCCGGCGACTGGGGCTGGCCTGAGCCCCGTCCTGTTCTTCGAGCAATGATACCCTCCCAGGCCTTGACCCTCCCTGAGCTTCAGGGGCCCCCGCCACGTGCCACAGTCAACGGGAGCGTAGAGGAGGCACTCCCAGTGATCCTCCCTGGGAGGGTCTGAGGTAGGGGAAGCCCCGAGCAACAGTTCTGATGGCAGCCTGAGGGATCTGGGCACACCGGGCGGCTCAGGTGTCTGCGGCTGCCCTCCCAGTAGCTGTGCAACTACAACCAGTTTTATGAAAAGGCTTTATAAAAATAAGCTTTAAGAAACCTCATTTCTTCTATTAAAAAAGCCGCTTTTAGTGCAAGTGGGGTGCCAAGGATGTCGAATAAATAAGGGGGAGAGGGGGCCAGGATCAGTGCCCAGGGAGGAAGCGCTCACGGACGCTCCGCTCCAGCCCGGGCATCCTGGCCACACGCAGTGCCTGCAGCAGCCGCACCAGAAGTGCCCCGTCCTGCGCCTCCAGGAGCTCCGTGAGCCGCTGATGCAGCTTCAGCCGCAAGGCTGCGCGGCCCGCCCTTGGTGTTGGACCCCAGCCCCCCGGGGCCTCAAGGGCCTGCAGCAGCCGCTGCAACCTCTTGATGGAGATATCCTGGAAAGCCACGAAGTCGATCACGGCACGCTTGCACTCCTCAGTTCCTGTAGTGGGTGGGGAGGCAGCAGTCCCCTCATTTCACCCATAGACACTGGTGGGGGCCTGCCGAGCACCCTGTTTTCTGGGCCCCACCCAGGGGGTTTGCAGGAGAGAAATCCCTGTACAGTGAGCCGTGCTGGAGTGAGCACTGCAAGGGTGGGGACTGGAGAAGGGGCAGGAGCCTTCAGTCAGCGCGGTGGAGCAAAGGCGTGGGGGCAGGAGTGGCCACTCGGAGTTTGGCTGGGAGAGGCAAAGGGGCCCAGGCAGGATCTTAGGGCTCCTGGGCCACTGGAAGGGGCTGGTTGGGATCTGCAGATGGACTGAACCTGACTTCGTGTTAACCACTGTGGCTTCTTAACAGTGGCTAACATCGGGCCTGTTTCCCCATGTCAGAGGGGCCAGCCACCTTGCTCTCGGGCAGTTAGGAGAGTGCTGCCCACCTTCCCAAGGCTCCCCAGGGGAGGCTCTGCCCTGGCTCGGATCCTAATCCTCAGCCACCCCTGAGGGGGCAGACTTGGTGGGGATCTAGAGGAGGGACCCCTGACCCCTCAAATCCACTGTGGCCCCTTCCCCGAGGTCAGCTGGCATGCTTTAGGCTAGATGCACGTGTAGGGGCTGGAGTGAGGGCACAAGTGGGCCTGGCCTGCAGTGCGCTACTCCCTCAGTCCTCTGGCTCACCTGGTACCCTGGTGCTGAGGGGGAAGGCAGTGCAGCTGGTGCATAGGGCGTCATGGGAGGAAGAGCCTGGCACGTTGAGGGCCAGGCCCAGGGCCGTGCAGTTACGGTGGGGCTGGCACTGCTCTGAGCTGGAGCTGCTGGCTGAGAAGGTGCCTGGGGGGCACGGCTGGCACTGTGTGTTCTGGCTGGGGGTGCCTGCAGCCGGGAGGGAAGAACAGGGTCAGGGGAACTGGTGTCCTAGCTCAGGGTGCAAGCCTGGGACCAGCAACCTGACCCCTGCCACACCTCCGACCACCACTCCTGGGGGCCCTTCCCCTCATCCGGCTCTCACCCAGGGCCATCACGCCGGTGCCAGGCGGACACGATGCATGCTCCAGGCAGAAACCAGCGTGCGCGAAGAAGCCGGTGCGGCAGCGGCAGGCGCGGTTGTGGGTGGCGTGGCAAGGCCGTGCCTCTTCCTCGCGCTCCCCACAGAGGATGTTGCAGTAGCGGCAGCGCTCCAGGTAGTTCCAGAACTGCGTGTAGTGGCGTGGAGGACACGGGCCACACGTCGTGGGGCTGTCTCGGCGGCAGGGCTGCTGCACAAAGGTGCCTGGGGGGCACTGGGCGCACACCAGCCACTCCCCCGTGTCTGTGTCCCGCCAGGGGTAAGTGGGTGCCTCTGTCGCTCCACGCATGGCCGGCACCAGCAGCAGGGTGGGCAGCGCCCACACCAGGCACAGCAGCAGCAGGCCCGGCCCCTCCAGCGCCTTCATGGTCCTTGCTGGAGCAGGGAGAGCGTGGCTCAGCGCGGACACCGGATCCTGCTGTGCCTGACCAACATGCCGCCGCCTCTGCCCACAGGCGGAGGGACTGCCCATCCCCAAGCCCATCCTGCTGCCGCCCTATATGGGCAGGGAGAGGGCCGGGCCAGCCTCACCACGCCCCATAGGAACTCCTCCCTCCCCAGGCAGCCCCCCTCACCCACCTGGTACCATCCCTCCCCACAGCTCAGTCCAAGGGTGGTTCTGTGAGGGGCTTCACCAGCCAGGGAACCGCCCTCCTCAGCACCTGGGGCAGCTCCTGACCCCGCAACCAGCCCAGGCAGCTGGTGTATTGGTGGATCCCCCCCCAGTTGCAGCTTGGCTGCAGCGGTGAGGATGAGGGCAGGGCTGAGCCCACTGTGGAGGAAGTAGTGTCACAAGGCAGGCTACGAGGGGCCTGTGCCAACTCCCTGTCTCTCCTCAACTCCCACCACCAAGCCCAGGCCACGAAGACACTGTCCGGGGCACTGCCAGCACTTTTATTAGAGAACCCTGTCGCCTGATGGAAAGTGGACACATGCCCACGGGGGTCTCCTTCCTGGTGAGGGGCTCAGCTGGGATGCCCCTGTGGCACCACTCACAGGCCAGGAGCCAGGGAAGTTCTGGGGAAGCACCTTCCCAGAGACCCACCCCAGACCCCAACGTAGCTCAGGGCTTCTCAGAGGGAGGCCCAGATCCGGTCCCACTGCAGTGGGGCAGGCAGGCAGGCATGGGCTGGCCTATTCTGTTGGGTGGTTCTTTGGCCCACCAGAGCTGGACAAGCACGTGATCAAGCCACGTCGGGTGTGCTGAGGGCCTCCGTGGGCACTCACTGGGGCTCTGGCCAGAAGACCTGCGTGACGCTCTGCTTCCTGGAGGCGGTGTGGCAGGATGGGCACGTCCTAGAGGCCTGTGAGACAACCGGCCCACTGGACGCACCTGCCAGGCGTTGCCACCAGCCCACCACCTGGGGCTATACCCCGCCCTTTCACCCTCAGCCCACCACCTGGGGCTACACCCAGCAGGAACTGTAGTGGCCAGGCACCAACCTGAAGGTGCCGTTGCCAACAGGCTTGGCAGCGCTGGAAATCACAGGCAGGGCACTGGAAGGGCACCACGTCCTCCGCCCCACAGCCCTGGCACACACAGCCTGCTGAGAGGGGCCCACTCGGAGCTCCCGCAGCCTGCTGCCCAGCGAGGTCTCTCCCAGGAGGCTCACCCCACTCAGATGCTGCAGGCCCGTGGGGAGGTCCTGGGGACTGGCTGGGCCCTGCAGCCTCACCGCCCGCCCCCACAGTCCCTGCTGGCCTCTGTCTAAGGAAGGTCGAGATCTTGCTCTGGGTCTTTCCGGGCTTCTCGGATCGTGAGGGGCCTGGAGACGGAGACTGAGTCTAAGCGGGGCCTGGGGCTTTGCTGCTTGCTCCCAGGGCTGCGTGCGGTTGGGGCACTGTCAGGAACAGCCAGGCAGGCGCCCTACCTGGTTGGGGAGCCCTGTGGGTGAGCACAGGAGGCACAGCAAGACTCTCCTCCTGGGGTCCTGGTGGCTCCATGCCCAGGGAGGGTCTGCCGGTCAGGTCTGTGCACGTCTGTGAGAAGCGCTGCTTGTGGTGTGGACGCACAAACATGCTGAACCCTGCGGGAGCTTCACTCAGACCCGGCACGACCCCCA